GCTCCACCCTGAGAATCACTGACCTGAGAGAGAGCGACTCAGCTGAGTATCACTTCAAATTCACAACACCAAGCTTTGAATGGAGGAGTAGTTTACCTGGTACAACTCTGACTGTCACAGGTAAACACAGACTGATGTAAATACACCAACACGGTACATTTAAAAACACTCAACATGTGGATAAGGATCAATGTGTTTGTGTAATTACTGTTGTATAAATAAATAGATACAAATGCTCTCTACCTCTTATAGGAATTAATACTGTTGTGTTGATGTGTATGATATGTACATCCATCATCTGTTTTTTAGACACAGCGATAATATTGTTTCTTGTTCTCATATCCAGCTCTCCAGGTGCAGGTGACCAGAATAACAGTCAGGCAGTCTGTTACTGAGGCAGAGCTGAAGTGTCACAGCAGCTGCAGTCCAGCTGGTCGTCTTTCCTACGTCTGGTTCAAGAATAAAGTGAAAATTACTGGAGTGGAGACGTCTTCTTATAAAGCCCAGTTTGGTCTTAGTGACAATGTCTCCTGTGCTATAAGAGGACGCGAGGAGTTCCCCTCTCCTTCAGTGTGTAAGTTTAATCCACTGTGTCAGAACAAAAAAGACACATAAGTTCTGACATTACAACACAATTACAATTTCAGACCAAACCTCACTGGAGTCTTCTAAATCTTAATGTAGATGCAGCAGTATTATTTATTCATTCATCTTCTAACTGCTTCATCCCCTTGAGGGTCGCGGGGGTGCTGGAGCCTATCCCAGCTGACATCGGGTGAGAGGCAGGGTTCACCCTGGACAGGTCGCCAGACTATCACAGGGCTGACACATAGAGACAAACAACCATTCACGCTCACATTCACACCTACGGACAATTTTAACCTAGTCCCCAATCTGCATGTCTTTGGACTGTGGGAGAAAGCCAGAGTGCCTGGAGAGAACCCACGCTGACACGGGGAGAACATGCAAACTCCGCACAGAAGGGCTCCCACGCCTGGGATCGAACCGGCAACCCTCTTGCTGTGAGGCGAGAGTGCTAACCAGCACGCCACCATGCCGCCCGCAGTATTATTTAGAGAAACAAAAAGTTAAATGACTACTAGCAGAAGCAATATTCAGATACATGCTGTGATGTCACATTTTTGTGATTCAGTAATATTAGAAATATAAAATATGTTGTTGCTCTCAGAATTACTATACATTTTTATTTTCTTTTTCATTTTAGTTTAATTTAATTTAGTTTCAGTTAGTTTCCAGAGTGGCTTTGCTTTTTTTCAGTCTATTTTTTATTGTTAAAAAAGGTTTAGTTTTAGTTTAATTAGTTTTTAAATATTATAATATGAGGGGTATTGTTATGAGCAAGATTTAAGACATTAGGTATTACAATATAACCACAACACTTTGTGAGAGCAGTGGACTCACAGTTGTGTAGACATCACAATCTTAGTAAACATTAAGACATTTTCTGTATATCTAGTTTATTATTGACATTATTATTAATATTATTATTTAGTTTTAATAACTGTAATAACCTACATGTTTAGTGTTAAGATGTTTCTGTTACTGAGATGCTCCATTACTTGGAGAGTGGATACTGTTGGTATGGAACTTTTCATTTTCCATAGTAAAACCTTAACATGGAGTTTCTGGTTTTTAAAATGTATTCAAGATGGACGGACGGTCGGTCTCTATGTCTGAAAAACACAAGTTCTGCTCCAACAATCTCTTCCCACCTCCAATAAATGTAAAATTAACAGAATAATTTATAAAACATGACAAGGAAGTGAACAACCAGTAACTTGTGGTAACAACAAGATCTTAACTGTCAGGACTGACTCAGCAAACATATCCAGTATGTAAAGAGAAGAATATGTAGAGCTGTTGAAAACTAATGTTAATGAGTCTAACCTGTGACAGCTCCAGGATCAGAACTCAACAAAGCTGCTGTGAAAAAAAACACCTTCTATCATCTTTTAAAGTTGTTCATGATCATTTCTCCTCCAGATGCTCCAAAGCTTCCCTCTGTGTCAGTGAGTCCCTCTGCTGAGATAGTGGAGGGCAGTTCAGTGACTCTGACCTGTAGCAGTGATGCTAACCCAGCAGCTAAGTACACCTGGTACAAGAAGACAGTAAACCCCAGACCTCTCAGTGAAGAACCACAGCTCGTCTTCAGCTCCATCCAGTCCTCTGACTCTGGACAGTATTACTGCACAGCAGAGAACGAGCTGTGGATGATGATGTCTAATGTCTTCATCATGGATGTGAAATGTGAGTGAAAAAGCTTATTTAAATATAACATACAGCTTGAATCTGTCCAGTGTTTGCTGATGATACCTACTCTCTTCAGCTCTACTTTATATTTCACTTTCATTATCACATAGCTTTAGCTTGATGTAGGCTCTGCTAAATGAGTTTAAAGTTTAGGCTCTTCAGTCTACTTTGCAAGTGTTAGTGGTGCTTTTTGTGGCCGGCTTTCGACGGTGGTGTCGTGTGTCTAAGTCATTCATCGGGATGAGAAAAGCTACTCATCAGTCTGTAAACTGTCCTCCTGTCGACTTCTGCTTGTTACAGTGGCGGTCCTGGCACATTTGGTGGAAGAGCCTCCCCCTGATAATACACATTTATGAAACAACCTTTAACATTACCCTCTATTATGTGAAAAACATCTTTAAAAAATAAGCAAAAGGCCTTTTTACTATATATGATACATCATAATTCCCTCTATGATATCTATTTCATATTGCTGTGATCATTAATGTGAAATGTGAGTGAAACAGCTTATTTTAATGTATCAGATGTAGGGCTGTATTTGACCAATGAAAATCTTGGTCGACTGAATTCCTGTCTACTCTTCGACTTATCGATTGGTCGATGGGGGAAACAAAACTCTGCAACTTCTTTCTAGATTAACTAAACAGGCCACAGTAGAGAAGGGACAGGACCAAGAACAACCATCACAGAGGACAAATACAAGCACTGAACAACAACAATTGCCGGTTTCAGCTGGGAAAAGAAATGCTTTGGTGGACACACAGCCTTATTAATGTAACACCATGACTTATTATACAACCAATCAAGCGACCAACAGACCAAAAGGTTACAGCCAAAATTAGATGACCAGTGTGTGCTTAAAAACAGTTGTATTTCTATACATGTTCTCCTCCAGATGCTCCAAAGCTTCCCTCTGTGTCAGTGAGTCCCTCTGCTGAGATAGTGGAGGGCAGTTCAGTGACTCTGACCTGTAGCAGTGATGCTAACCCAGCAGCTAAATATACCTGGTACAAGAACAACCAAACACTGATTCAGGGACCAGAAGGCATCTATCATTTCACCTCCATCAGCTCTGAGGACAGAGGGAGTTACCACTGCATGTGTCAGAATCAACATGGACAGATCAACTCTTCATCTCTATTTGTAAATGTCCAGTGTAAGTTTCACAAGTCAGTACTACTTTTCATCATAAAAATGTCATATGTAAACACTGATGAATTCTCTCACTTAATATTGTCCTCCAGATGCTCCAAAGCTTCCCTCTGTGTCAGTGAGTCCCTCTGCTGAGATAGTGGAGGGCAGTTCAGTGACTCTGACCTGTAGCAGTGATGCTAACCCAGCAGCTAA